AAAACCTGACAGCAGTGTACCTACACAAAAGCCAATAAGTGACCCAGTTGCAGTGCTCACAGTAGGTGAAATTGTCAGCAGATTATTTTTATTTCACTTGTGAGGATGCTGTTTTGCTGTCCCGCTTTACAGAAGGTATACAGAAACTACTTACTGAAACAAGGAAGCTCTTGAGTCTTGGCAAGTCAACACAAAAGCCTTCCAATATTTTAAAAAAAGGTTTTTATTATTTAGTGTGTGTAATACTTGTGGGAAACTGGTATATATATGTCCCTGGTAGCCATTTACATTTACATCTTCCCTAAACATCATCCCTCAGTGTGTGTTAACCCTTAATAAACCGATTAATTTGTGTAGTAAACATTGGTCTTAGAGGCAATTTCTGAGCATGGTGGGGATTCATTCTAACTACCACTCTAAAATATGGTCCTGCAGTGGCTGTTCCTCTGGGAGAGGCAAACGCTATGTGTGAGCCCTTGGTCTTATTCAAAAACCCCTCCATATTGGGGGGCATTTGCAAAAGCACCTGACAGCCGGTAGCCCCCCGATATCAGCTCATGACAATACTATATAGTAATGTCTGGTGTTCAGTACAGTGGTTATGTATAGAACCCTTTATTACAATAAGATTCATACAGGTATCTTTCACTTATTAGAAGCATTCCCAAATAACATCCTTCTTTTTTTAATTGGGAATAAGTGATGAGTTGGCACATCTTTGTTTGTTTTCCACAGCCTTTTGAATTCAATGTCTTTAAGAGGAGAATCACAGTGTAAGAAATTGGCTAGTTGAATAGAGTTGTTTAAACTTAGTAATTTGAAATTTCTGGGTAACTGTGCTCAGTGTATTATGCTTTGTTGAGTTGTAGTCTAGCCCCATCTCAAGCAGAAAATGTACTTTGTAGCTACTTAGGCATGCTGTTAAATGGAGTATCATCTCAGGAAGACTAATATGTACTTTTCTGTGTAAGATTGGAATTATTGGTGGAACTGGCCTGGATGATCCGGATATCTTAGAAGGAAGAACAGAAAAATATGTTGATACTCCTTATGGCAAGGTCTGTACAACCTGTTTTTTTTGTTACTGAGACTTTTGGCTGTTTTTAAATATGTTTTTATGCTGTAAGAATTTTCAGACTGCTAAATGAAGGCATAAAGGAGGTACTGTCACAAGACTCTTTCCGTTTAGTTGTTATGTATTGTTTGATGCTTAACTTGTAGAAACAGATGTTACAAAAGATGTTACAAAGATGATGTACAAAGGAGACTATGCTTCTTCTCTTTTGTAGATTTGGGTGAATTTACAAACTCAGTTTTGAATTTGCAGTCAAGAAAGATAAACCCTCTCTCTCATATTTGTGACCCTGTAACCACTGAATTATACTTCTACATACCAGTGCTGTCCTTACAGTCATGCTTATAACCACGTAATTTGAAACTGGTATGAAAATGAAGCTCAAACTGCTTTTGTGGCATAGGTAAGTATTCTTCACCAACTGTCCTTCACATTGCTTCAGCTCTTTTCCCCAGCAAAAGGGAGTCAAAGCTGGAGGTGTTGCTCTCTACACAGTGTCCCATATGTTGTGAAGGACTAATCCTGCCCTAAAGCATTTTTAGTAGGAACAGGCAAGACAAAGGATGAGGGAAAGTTATATGTGCTCCTGCATCAAAGGGAAAAGAGGTTCTAGCTGACACAGGAAGTTAATAGAAGAACCAGATCTCAGATATTCTGTAGTGTCATTAGACCAGGGGAGTCTGGGTGCTTTTTAATTGCTGTCAGAATGATACCTTATGAAATCTACCAGTGTAAGCTAGTACATATACAGTAAAACAACTTAGGTGCAGTAGCAAGAGCCATTTTATGGGTAGAAGCTTGCCAAAAACCTCAGCACTGTGGTGTGTGAAAAGCTGAATCCATGCCTCCATTCAAAATGGTTTAAGAGGAAACTAAGAGTGTAAAGAGCGAGTTTGTATGCACCATCCAAGAAGTGAGAAGAAGTAAAGATCTGACTTTTCCACTATCCTTCCAAATCTGTTAACAAACTGCAAGGGAATGAAGGGAAGTTTTCACCTCCATTTTCTGTACCCTGCTCTCAAACAGTAGCCAGTGTTGATCTGAAGTAGAATTCACTGGCTAAAACAAACCAGTTGCCATTGTGTTCTCTATTTTATGAGAGTCATGGGATGGTTTAGGTTGGAAGGGAACTTAAAGATCGTCAAGTTCCAGCCCTTCTGCATGGGCAGGGACACCTCCCATTAGACCAGGTTGCTCAAAGCCCCATCCAGCCTGGCTTGGACACTTCCAGGGATGGGGAATCCACAACTTCGCTGCGCTACCTGTGCCAGTGTCCCACCACCCCCATGGTGAAGAATGTCTTCCTAATGTCTAACCTAAGTATAACCTCTTCCAGTTTAAATCCATTCCCCCATATCCTATCACTACACACCCCTATAAAAAGTCCTTCCCCGGATCAAATGAGATCAAAGTACCCCAAATGCCAAGTGTTCCTGCTCCAAGACATTATCCCATCACTATGGTGCAGGAGGAGGAACACCTCTTTGGGTTGTTCCATCCATTGTCTTCTTCTGAGGTTGCACACTTGACAGCATCTGGATAATAACAGAATGACTGTGTCTGGAAGCTGTTTACAAAGCAAAAATAGCACTATGTTTGTACCAGATACTTACTGGTATAAATGATGAAATCCAGGGCACTTCTTCTCCCTCACAGGGGTTTGTTCAGCTTGGCACTAAGGGTACAGTGGCAGTACAGCATTTGGAGGGATGTTCTGCCACAGCAGGGGGATGCAACAGGTCACCCAAATTCTGCAGTGCAGCAGGTGGCCCACAGCAGGGTTTAGTGTTAACAAGAAGAGTAGGAGTAACTGCAGGATGGTTCCTGAACAGGGGAGTGGAAAAAGCTTCCTCAATCCTACACCTTTAGTCAGTATGGGAGATGGTTTTAATTTCATTTAGTAGACAGCTTAGGTACTGCCTTTTTTTCTGCTTTCTTCACAGAATGCAATATGAACAGGGGAAAAATAAATCTTGGTTGCCTGCTATGTTTTGTGAGAAATCGCTATCAATAGACTGCCTGTGTTTGAGCTTGTTTGAGCTCTCTGCTGAGTGCTCACTGTGGGTCAGGTAGGATGAGCACCCTTGACCCATGCAGATGAGCTCAGAGCGGTGCCCTTCGAAGGAGCACCCTCCCTGCATGCCCTTCCACACCAGCTGCCACACAAACTGCTGTGCTTGGCCAAAGGTGCTCTCTTCCTTCTCTGAGAGATGGACCCCACTGGCTGCTAGGACACCAGATTTCTCAAAGCAGGTCCCACGGTCTATGTAGTGGAAGCTCTGGCTGTGGCAACACTCCCATAGCCAATTATAAATTTCCCTAATTCAACTGGCCCTTTCAAGTGCCTTTGACAGGGAGGTGGTGGAGTCACTGTCCCTGAAAGTATTTAAGAGAAATATAGATACAGTGCTTAACAGCATGATTTAAGCACTGATTGGGTAGATTACGTTATGGTAGGGGGATTTAGCTTATGGTTGGACTAGATGATCTTCTGGGATGATTATGTCCAGGGTTAGGACTGTAGCATTAAGGGTCAAGGTTTAAGGGTCTAGGCGTAAGCATCTAGATTAGATGGTCTAGGGTTAAGGGTCCAGGGTAAGGGTCTGCTGTTACAGGTCTGTGATTAAGCAGTGAGGGTAAGTGATCTAGCTGATGTGGTGGTGTTAGGTCATAGGCTGGACTTGATGATCTCAAAGGCCTTGGTGATTCTGTGGTTCTGTGATTGACGAGAAGAGGCTCCTGAGTCCTTCACTGCTGCTCCCACAGCTCTGTAATCCTTGATAATCTTCAAATTGCTCCTGGCTATTACCACTGTTGCTCCCACGAAACAGCAGCGGCTGGTCATAGTCAGTGAGGTGTACAGCATTTGGTTTGGCAGTCTTTCAGTGACATCCTTGATATGAGCACCTGGTAAGCAACAGAGCTCTCTATAGAGAGTGAATTGGTTTGGCAGATGGGTGCTTCTGTACCTTTTGGAGGAGAGTCTCCCACTACTATCACCAGTTGCCTTTTCTTGTCTGCACTAGTTGTTATGCAGTGAGCTGATTGGGGTGACCTGCTCAGCTCCAGTATCTTAACCTGTTGCAACACGTTTTTCCCCTTCACCTCAGGCTCTGAGGCAGGTCTCTTCCTGAGAAGAGCTTCCTTTCATAGAATCATAGAATCATGGAATCCTAGGGGTTGGAAGGAACCTTGAAAGATCATGTAGTCCAACCCCCCTGCCAGAGCAGGGTCACCTAGAGTACATCACA